ATGTTGACCAGGATGGTCTCGATATCTTGACCTCGTGATCCACCCGCCTCGGCCTCCCACAGTGCTGGGATTACAGGCTTGAGCCACCGCGCCCGCCCTGTTTCTGCTCTTTAAAAAAATTGTTGGCTAGGCCCAGTGGCTCACACTTGTAATCCTAGCACTTTGGGAGGCTGAGGCAGGTGGATCACAAGATCAGGAGTTTAAGACCAGCCTGGCCAACACGGTGAAATCCTGTCTCTGCTAAAAACACAAAATTTAGATGAACGTGGTGGCGGGCACCTGTAATCTCAGCTACTTGGAAGGCTGAGACAGAAGAATTGCTTGAACCGGGAGGCAGAGTTTGCAGTAAGCCGAGATTACGCCCCTGCACTCTAGCCTGGGCAACAGAGCAAGACTCCGTCTAAAAAAAAATTGTTACAATTATTGCCCAACTTTGGCCCTCTTTCTCTGTTTCTTGCTATCTGCCTCTCTACTTACAAATCCTTGCTTTCCCTCTCTAATCTCCACAAGTTCTACGCCTGGGTAACTCAGCAGATGCCCTTGAGTCAGCCAAAAGAGCTGTGCACCTGTCAGATGTTGTCCTGAGATTCTGCATCACTGTTAGTCACCTCAATCGAGCCTTGTACTTCGCCTGTGACAATGTCCTGTGGGCTGGAAAGTCTGGACTGGCTCCTCGTGTGGATCAGGAGAAGTGGGCCCAGCGTTCATTCAGGTTTGATATCCTTTTCTCTCCTACAAGATTTTTTTGTAGCCTCTGTATTACATAGCTTGTCTTATATGAGGGAAAGATCTCTTAGGATCTTCCCAGAGTATGTAAGTCTTGATCAGTCACTTGACTTCCAATCTTCACTTAGATCTTAAACTATCGGAGAATAACAAATGGGGGCAGATGGAAGACAGATGCTCTTCCATAATGAATGACTAATTTGTTAAGGTAAGATATTATATCACTTTAATTGTGCTTTTATCTGTACCACAGGTTATTCCCCCTCACCACCTGCTTATTCATTCATTACAAAAATATTTATTAGATGCTTACTGTGGGGCAGGGGATAAAGCAAAGAGCTGAAAAGATAATGTGCCTGCTCCCATGAAGCTTCCGGTTTAGTGGGGGAGTTAGATACTACAACAAATAACTTCTCATATATATTTGTGGAAAAGTATATGGTATTATGAAAGAATATAACAAGGGAGCTAATTTTGATTGAAAAATCAGGAAAAACTCTTTGAGAAAGTAATATTTTAGTTCAGAGCTGATTTCTGAGTAGGAGGAGTTAAAGCCAACAGTAACAGAAAAGTTATTTCCAAACAGAGAAAATAGCACATTCTAAGTAAGGCTTTGAACCAAGAAAAACTTCAGGGAATTAGAGAAATAGAAAGGCAGTGTGATGGACAGTATTGAGTCCGTAAGTTCAAATTTGAGAGACAGGTGCCAGATCATTCATACAGGGCCTTTTAGGCAATGTTAATGTTTATTTTAATTAAATTTTATTTTACAATGGGACATTATTAAAGGATTCTGAGCAGAGAAATAACATGATTCAAATTGTGTTTAAAGGACATCTCTTTCTGAGATGTTGAAAATGGATTGTAGCTGGGCATGGTGGCTCACGCCTATAAACCCAGAACTTTGGGAGGCCGAGGCAGGCGGATAACCTGAGGTCAGGAGTTCGAGACCAGCCTGACCAACATGGAGAAACCCCGTCTCTACTAAAAACATAAAATTAGCCGGGCGTGGTGGCACCTGCTTGTAATCCCAGCTATTCAGGAGGCTGAGGCAGGAGAATAGCTTGAACTCTGGAGGTGGAGGTTGCACTGAGCTGAGATCCTGCCATTGCACTCCAGCCTGGGCAACAATAGTGAAACTCTGTCTCAAAAAAAAAAGGAAAGACAGACAATGGATTGCAGTGGGGGCAAGGGAGGAGGAGATGCCCTAATATGAGCAAGAGATGATGTTGGCTTGGGCAAAAGAGGTAGCTGACAATGAAGGTAGAAAGAAATATGATTTGGGAGTAAAATTCTTAGCATATTATCTGTATTTGTTTTTGTTTTCCTATGATTGCCTTTGTACTTTTTCATCATATTAGCTTCTTTCCATCTCCGTTTCTGTCTTGCTTTTCTCTTCATCTTTCTCTCTCTCTCTCTTTTTTTTTTTTTTTTTTTTTTTTTTTTTTTTTTTTTTTTTTTTTTTTTTTTTTTTCTCTTTTTTTTTTTTTTTTTTTT